CTGAAATTACAGGAGCAACAGTGATTAGGCTACTGGTAATTGCTGAAGTTGAGGCCATCAGGATCAATAGTGTATCAGAAAAGTGTCACAGGATCACTTCGTTAAAAAAGCTAGGGTTCCTATTTTGTCTTGTTACACCTTTATACAAGTTCTTAAATCTCTTCACCATTAACCTAAAGAAAGTTATAGACTATTGAATCCACAAAAGGTTTCTGTGCAGAGTTTCTGTCATTTTCTTGGAGGCCTCCCAGACTTTTACAAGCCCACCTATACACTTGATTTTTTTCAGTCAGAGATCATAGGTGGAGGTACACAGCAGAACTTTGTGTCCATTTCACAAAAGCTAAGTGTAATGTTGAAATTTTTTACTGATTGTGTACTACCAAGTATAATCTTTGTTGAAATAAAAACAAATTCTTAAACTTTGAAATCATTGTTAATGTTGGTCAAAGGCAATGCACTTGGACTGTGTTTGTAAGTCTTAGTGCTTCAAAAGCAATCTAGTCAGAATGCTTTTATTCTGTACATTTATATAACTTAATGACAGTATAATTAGTCCTTCTGAGATCTCTGGTGACAGAGGCAAATTACTCTGACCCTAATACAGACAGATAAATTTTTGCTTCAACTACAGTGTGGTCAAAATGCCACCTTGTGTTTTCTTAGAACTATAAAGACACACAATGCTTCTCTTTATCTTCTGTCCTACCATCCAGTAAAACAGAGACAAAACCAGAAAGTGAGACCGTTCTAGGATGAGTGTGCATCGCAAATGTACATCAGGCTCTAGGGGATGCCTTAGTGGTGCCTAAAGTTCTTCCGAAAGGAAGGGTAACAAATGGCTTTGAGCAAAAATAAAACACTACTGCATACAAAAGCTTTCTTCTCTGACATTTCCCAAGATGAAAAGGTGGAAAGCAAGAAACTGATACAAACAGAGGTGGAGGAAAATAACAGTTTAAAGCTTAGTTACCACAGTGATATTTGCAAAATAACCAGAGCATAAAAATGATCAGTCACCACTCTTGCCTCAAAATATCTACCTCAACTCTTCTATTACTCAGGGTGGTACTTGAGAATACCACAGAAACTTCAAAGAAAACATGAAATCTAGGCACCCGTGATCCTACTGGTGCTGCTCAGATTGTCTGTGACTGGCACTCAGAACCAAATGGTACTGTGAAATGTTCCCCAGTGAAGAAGAAAGGAAAAAAATGTTGTAACTTTAAAAATGGCAACAATCGAAATGACTTTTTGGCATTTATGGGTGGGGAAGGATCCATACAAATCAGACCAACAGTTTGAGCTTACTGTCATAATATGACTTGATATTTACTTTTGAGAGGCCAGAAACAGGGAAAGCACTTTATGCAGACCACAAGGAAGAAAGACCTTGGGGCATCACTAATGATGAGAAAAAAAAAAGGAAAAAAAAAAAAGAATTGAGTTAAAATTTTTGAAAGACTTCTCCACAATGGATGACATAGCTGGTTAATTAATGGGAATCTGAATCCCCAGACAGCTTTGAAAACCCCAGTCTGAGTGTTCCAAGGAATAAGAACATTTTAACTGCTTTTACTGTTACTATGAACTTCCTTTAAAAGTGTTTCTTAAGAATAGTTATTTTACCAAGGGAAGTAATTGAGCTAGTGTGACTGGCATCCCTTCTATCATAGGAAAAGTACTCATGTCTGAAATAGTCAGTACTTTGAGAAAACTAATAGAACCTGCAGTTAGCAGGATGTGAGTATATTTGAGCCCAATGGGGGCTGCAGCTTGACCACATGCTCATTGAGATGCATGCAGTTTTCCCACTCACCTGATCTCCTTTCTGAAACTCAATGTCATTTGGTCTCTTCTGTTCTCCAATTTGTCCTGGTGGCCCTGGAGGTCCCTGAAGACCTTGTTCACCCTAATGTGCAAGAAGATGGCAGTTTGTTACAGGCAATACAAGACAAAATGGCATGCATAAGTATTTTGAAAGTAATAAGCAAAAATATCATCATGATCACCTACTCACTTTTTCACCTTTGGGTCCTTGGAAATTCAAACCCATATTACCCTGCAAAAAGTATAACCCATCAGCCCTTAGAAGTCACAAATGAACAGAAAGAAAAACAAAACAGTCCACAACCACTATTAATGAGGGAAAGAAAATACCTTAGGTCCTGGCAGCCCTGGTGGACCAGGAGGTCCCTATTGAAAAAGGAAACAACAAAAAAAGTAATTGCCAAGCACTTTACATGCCCCCTTGTGGGAAAAAAAAAAAGCCAAACAATGTTGCTACTTTAACTCCTGTGCACTATACTCATATTGACAAGGCACCTTGTCTTCCTTAAAAGCGTTTCCTCATGCTATTCAGCTTCACAAAAATGTAAAAAACTAGTTCTTCCTTTAAGTGAGACTGTTAAATAAAATTAAACAGTCAGGTATTAAACATTAAGGAAAGAATCATCCTGGTCTAAATAAAGTAAATCTTGTCCCTCAGGTTTCACACAAATAAGGAGCCTGCACAAAGATTCATCTTGCTTTAAAGCAAAAAGAGGGCTGGGAACATGCCTTAAATGTGCCCAGTGGCAGCTCCAGCATGAACTGAATGCATGGTTGCTGTTGTCTTCATACCAAGTCTTGACTACCAAGATCCCGGCACTTTACTGACCTGCCTCTGAGGACAAGAAACAAAGAAGTACCTGCCCCATTTAACACTTTATGGGTAGCAGGATAAAGAAACTTACTGTCAAACCCGGGGGCCCTGGAGGGCCAATTGGACCTGGTACTCCCACGGAGCCGGGTGGGCCCTGTTGAGAAAGTGGAGAAGGCTATGAGAGAGGCACTGAAGGCTATGAGCGAGACCTTCAAAGTCAAAGAAACCCAACAGCTGGTACCCCATACATGGCAAATCAAAGTAGCTGACCAATAACCTAGTAATCTGTCCTTGTGGAAAGACCTAAAGGAGTGCACATCATGTTAGAAGTGTTTTGCTCTCCACATCAATACATCTCTTTGGCTTGGATAAGGAAATGCTTTTTTTGTTTGTTTTGAACTACTTTTGTGCTTGCTTTCTCTTCATGCACTGAGAGAGAACAACAAAACACTTTGTATTTGTGATTCCTCCCAGCCAGAAACAGACAATAGGGAAGCACAGATCAGAGGAACAGAAATGCTAACAGGCTCAGTCTGGTCAGAATAGCCTGGGGCCTGCCTCTCTGTACCAGGAAATGGGAGTCTCTGGCTTCTGTCCAGTCTGATAGACTTATTTTCTGCTCCCCTTGTTCTTCCACTAAAGCAATGCATGGCTCAGTGGGGAAACACAGGGCCTGGAGTCACTAGCTGTTTTCACAGAAGACTGCTGGGAGAACAGAAACACTGTTCAGGAGGTACAACATGAGGAGAACAGCTCAGACATTACCCTCTCTTCCCACTATCCAAAATAGTGGCTACAGACCAGAAAGGCAGATGCTACTTTTTCTTTACCTCAGGGCAAAGAGGGAAGGGAACTCCAGAACTGATACAGAGAATGTCTAGGAAGGGGCAACAGACAGGGGAAACAGAGAAGCAAGTAACTCTAAGTACTGCTGTCTGCTGGATACCACCTTCCTGACCAGGGGACTTTTTTGGCCTCTGTGGGTTGCTCTATTAAGAGCAACACGGAAGCACTTGCTTTCCCTCAAGTCATAAACTAGAGGTACAGTAAATATGAGCACTGTTTCTCCACATAAACATAGGGATCCCGTAGCACCAAATGTTCCAATTGTGCTGTAACACAAATACTTTTCATGTTATCTTTTTGGAAGAACACAACCTAATAGTAATTTACACAACTTACAGGTATCCCTGGAAGACCTGGAAATCCTGGGTCACCCTTCTGTCCTGGCAGCAAGGATGTAATTATTTCACCTGCTTCACCCTAGAAGGCAAAGAGCTGACTTTAATTAATAGCACACTTTACAATTCTTTATCACCATTCTGACTCCAAAGGACACATAGTGTCTCTTAAGACTCTGAGAGAATCAGTTACGCTACACTCTAGCAGTACTCTCTAATACAAGTACTAGATTCTCCAAGTATAGCTCTTTTTAGGAGAGATCCTTGCATATTGAAAAGATTCTTTAAATAACTAAACTACCAATTATTAAAAGCTCTCTGTTTATATTGACAAATATATCAGCACTGATTTAAAGTCCAAAAGATTAAGGGATTGAAGTACAAATGCTTCACAAAAGAGACATTCTAGCTCCACGTGAAAGCAACAGATAGAACACAACAGAAAAAAGGCTCATTCAGCTTTTTCCAATACCTCACCTCATGAAATTAATGCTGAGTATGCTATTATAATAGCTATGCTTCATCTTCTATATTGAAGCACAGTTTCTGACTGATTCAGGGTAGATCTTTGTTTTAAAGTATATGTTCTGATCAGCTTGCTTTTTAATATCTTTAAAACAATTGTCAAGAAAAGGAGCTGAGAAAAACAATTCAGCTTAATAGTCACAATTTCCCAGTACCAGTGTTATGCTGTCCTCTCAGGAGTTTGTTGGAATAACTCTGTGGGTCAAGTTTCATTTCAAATAGATTTGAACTAAAACCGATGTTTTGACCCATGCTCAAATAGGTCGAGGATACAATAGAAAACCCCTTAAAAAATAAAAGTGTTCCTTAAGGTCCAAAATCATATGATGAGACTATTTACATTGGGAGAAAAAGCCATTTATGGCGTAATCTATACAGCAGAGAGCACATTTTCAAAAGGAACATAAGATGTTGCAGTATTCTCCTCACCTGATATTTTAAGTTATTATTGCTTAGTCTCTAGTAGCGTTCTTGAGCATGCACAGGTAGACTACTGGTGCATTTGGGTGTTCACAGGCATTTTGCTGACTTGATGCCTCACAACACAAACAGACACTGTCCCTTCGCACTCCCAAGGAAACCAGCTTCAGAAAAGAGCCTGCTACTTCTGGAACTACTGACCCAAATTGAGTAAAGCTACTGCAGAATTTCCAGTTAGTTGCACTGCAGCGGCCTAAAAACACTAAGCTTTCTGCAGAATGTCGCTCCAGATTCCAATGGATGCACATGGCCTTGCATAAAAGCAAGCAGGCTACTTATGCCAGATCACAGTGCACACCCATGCCTGGTTAGTACTTTGATGTGCAAGCGCAGAACACTTACCTTCATACCTGGCAGACCAGGAGGTCCCTTTGTTTAAAAGAAAAATAAAAGAAAAAAAAAATCAATAGAAAGAAATGTTATTTGCAAACCACTAATCAGATCTACACCACAAGGCAAGCATTAAAGATAGAAATCTAAAAAAAAGATACAAAACAGGAGAAAATTTTTTAATGACCTTCAGAATCAAAAGGAAAAATTAGAGAGGCACTTTCACAGTGATTGTTGAACATTAAAGGGAGTACATTTCCATTTCCTAGCAATTTGTTTCTTTATTGCCTATTATCCGTCCTGTCTACTACATTTTCTTCTCTTTGTACTCTGGTTCTGACAGTCACTTTGCTGTACATGCCTGCGTACACCCTGCCACCCTACATTGTGTCTTATTTCTGTCCCATTAATCACCAGTAGGACTCTTTAAATGTACCAGATGCCAGTATCAAGATTTTACTTCTCTGGCACATATGCATGTATTTGTGTTTTTCTGCAGCTGTGGCAAAGCGTCTCAGCATGTGACAATTCAAAGGGCTTTTTACTAGTTTAACCACAGCACACAGCAGAAAAGTTCACTCTTTTATTAGACATCTAAAATATTTTGATTAACCATAAAAAAAATTAATATATTCTTATTTATTCAAAGACAAACTGTAAAAAGAGGCTGATATTTATCTGATCTTTCGCAGATCTCAGCAGAAGTCTTTCAGTGGATTACAGGTAGCTGATGCAGCAAACTTTTACTTACAGGAGGCCCTTGTAAACCAGGAAAACCTGGACTGCCAGGGAATCCACGCTCTCCCTTAGGGATGAAGAAAATGATTAGCCAAAACCAAACTAAAACATAGAAAAAACAGATATACAAATTTTGACTGAAAAGTCCAGTCTCATTGTTAGCTTATGACTCCAGAGTAGCAAATTGTATTGCAACAAGATATAGGATAAAGTTTGTTAAATCACACGACGGACTAAAATGGAACTTTCCACATTCAGATATTTCCATACACTTCCAGGCAAAGGACTATACTACAGAGATGGAAAACACACACAGGGCTATAGAAGATCAGCTTCTCTTACGGAGAGATCATAACCCAAAGCTAAGTAACATGCTAGGAAGAAAATCACTCCTTCCAATAAGGATACTGAATCAGTAATTTCCCTGCAATATTATTAGAAATTAATAATTAAAGAGTCCCACTGTTAGGTAATAAGTCTTCCTTGGTAGCAAGAGTCTACTACAAAGATGAGATGCGGTATAGGATCTAATTATCAGACACCCCTCTCAGTCACTAGCTATAAATTAAGGATTAGAACGAAGACTATAACTACATTGGCTGCAGAGTATCAATGTTGCATCTTGGTGCTGGCAATTTCTGGCAAAACTTGAATTAAATACCAGACCATGACCCCTTCTCTCAGAGGCATGTGCAAGTTTGAATTATCTTGGAATTACCTGCACAACTCAGTCACAGCAAGTATTGCTGCACATAATAAACTAAACCTATCGGCTACAGTCAGGAGAGCAAGAGCTCTTTATCAGATTATTGTTGCATTGTTAAGAATCTTAAAGGGTTTCCACCTTTGTTCCATTGCATCCTGGGATACCCTGAGGTCCTGGTGGCCCATCTTGTCCTGGTAAACCCTTTAAAGTGGAAAAGAGGAAAGCAGAGTTAGCTTGTAGGATGTTCTTCTGGGCCTGAAAGACAAAAGGGAAGAGATTCATATCTATACAGCCCATTCCTACTCACAGGAAGTCCTGGTGTTCCTGGAAATCCTGGAAGACCTGGCGGTCCCTAGAAGGAAATCAACCACATGTATTTTAAACAGTATGGTATGAATGGATGTGCAAAAGGATTTACCAAGATTTTACTAAATGGAACCTATTTGTGCACAGAAACATCTGAATCACCTGTGAAAAAGAATTCCATGCTGGACAGCCATCAAATTTCTTACCCTTCTTTCAGGGAAATATCCACACAAACATAGAGAAGACAATGCAGAACAATTAAAATGAGAATAATATGCAGATATATAGAGAAAATAAATGAACACTCATGGTGTGGAAAACGGATGTGTCCCACTGAAGTCAGAGATGCATCAATTGCCACAAGCTGAGGGGTCTGACAAAAAGAAAAAGCAAAGGCACAAAGCCTGAAGGATTCACAGACAAATCAACCTCTCCCATACCTACCCTACATATACTATGTCTACTTCAGAATAAACTGAAGCAAAGTTATTGGAGAGTGTTTAGGTCCTGTATAGCAAAACAGACGAAACAAGTATTGGGGCTACTCTCCCTAATGAGTTTATGAAAGTGACACAAGCAATACTTAAGACTGTATTACTTATGCAATCTTATATTACTTACAAAAAGTAATACAATCTTTTCTAGCTACCAGATAATTTTTTCTTCAGATTTAAGTTAATTTTTCCCCCCATAAATCACGATTTGTGCGAGGACCCGCTCAATGCCTGTCAGTCTTTATCCATAAGACCAATTTTCACCCTAAACCTGCATCATTACTTACTCTGATTCCTTTGGGTCCAATAGGTCCTGGAAGTCCATCATCACCCTAAATAGAAACCAAAAAACAAAAAAACCAATCACACTCAATTTGCAGTTTGCCTTTCTATCAAATAAACTGTAAGCATGATAAAACTTTTACATGTTTACAGTAAGTGGAGTAAAAGTTACAGTAGTTGTCACTTTCTGAGTAAAGGGTTCAAAACTATTTTCTTTTGGGGCATTGGACTTTTAATTTTAAAGTATTTGTTACAGCTGATAAACCATAACTTAAAGGAAATGTTTTTTAAAAAGAACAAAGCTATTTAAGATTGCTTACAGGCAGAGACTATCATGTGCTTTCCTCAAATATCCTACACTGACCTCTTGTGGTCAAAGCAAAACATACGAAATTTAATGTGAATGATCCTGTAGCATTTTGTACTATGATAATGCAGAATTTCATATCAAAATCTTGATAAAAAAGGCATTTATGGAATAAAAATATAAAAAGACATGGAATAAATAATAGTTTATAGTCCAAGACCCTTACGTTGTTTCGTTCGTGTTATATCCAAATAATCTTTTCTTTTAGTGCAGAGTTTAGTATCTTTCTTATCACCAACTTTTTTTTTTTCTTCTTCTTTTTGATGTCCTTCTATTAGTTTATACTGTGAGCATTTGCAAAAGAAATGACAGGTCACGGATTATCTTGTGTATGTTGAATATAAATGCATTCAGAGGAAGGCTTTTCAACATTTTAATGCTTTGCTACACCATCTGAGTGTAAGGATGTAATTCAGCAGCAGATAAAAATAAACTGAAACCCTCCAGGGAAACCAAGGAGCATTCCTCAGTTGTCTCTGCATAGGCTCAATGAGGCTTTCATTTGCATTGCCCCATCCAAAACCAGACAAAAATGCAAACAACAGTTTACCTGTGTGGTGGGACCCCTCCAGGCAGCTGACCGCCAAGCTCTGCTCTTATCAGTGAGCTAAGCGATGGAGGGTGTTATTGCAAGGACTAATCAAACTACATTACAGCACCTTGCCAAACCTGCTCTCTGACCCTCATCTGCAGCACCTAGCGAAAGGATACAAGCGCGCATATAGTGTTTGCAAGCGAGTGTGTAGGTGAAGAATAAGAAGTTTGGAGAAATCTTTTGCTCTGGTTGACTATTCAAACCAACCAAACAAAAAACCTATGCCATATCCCAACATCTGAAGATTTTGACTGTTAAACCAATGATAAACAAGAGTTCTGGAACAATTTAGGATCATCTGTACGAGCAAGCTAACACTACCTAGCGTTTTCACTTTATTCAAGGAAATTGGAACTTACCTTCAAGCCTCTTGGACCAGGTGGTCCTTCAGGTCCTGGAAATCCAGGCAAACCTGGCTGTCCTTCCAAGCCTGGGAATCCTCTTTCACCCTACAAAAAGAATAGATGATGGTAGAGATGTAATATGACAAGATCAAAAGTTATGACAGAAAAAAAAATCATAAAACATTATCTTTCTGGTTTTCTGTAGGAAGTCATCATACAGATAAGCACACACTGATTAAACATCTCACCTGCTTAGCTACAGAAATTCCTGAACATACACATAGATTGCCTTTAATTGCACCACTTAAAGAGGTTTCATAGGATGTTTATCCAGTATTTAAGACACTTATTTAGCAAAATAATTCAACCATCTGTTTCTCCTGTGCTGCTAAAATACATAGAACTCTCCCCCCTTCCTATAAAAATATAGTTTTATTAGTCTCTTCTGAAAACTCAACTCTGCTGCAATACCTATAAAAACTCTCAGAAGGATGTAGATTACTGCTATACTGTGAATGTTTATTATTATACAGTTGCAAGATTGTAATTTGTAGCATAAAAACAACTAAGATCCTGGTCATGCACTGTAGGCTAAGCAGCATAAAAAAATGCAGAACATAAAGAAGGTTCCAGAGCAAAGTGCTTATAATATCAACCAAGTGAGACAGACACAAGACAGCAAAGAAATAAGGTTTCTTATTCCTTTTGTGTGTCACCTCCTGCTAAAATCATAAGGTCTCAAGAAGCAACCATATTTTCCTAAATATTTATGCAATAGCCAAGATAGTCCATCAGTAGTGTAACAAATACCATATACCATCATATGCTGCCCTCTAACTTCTTCGTGTAAGTCAACAGTGTCACTTACCTGCAGTTTCAGAATACGCATAGCTGCAAATTCATAAAATATTTACTTTTATTCCTTGTATGTCATAGGTTCACAAAAAAATCAGTAAACATTAAGGTTTCAATTGGTACAGAAAAGTTAGGAAATACAGAAGTAATACACCTTTTTGCATATATATACACTTTTCAACTGCATAAGCAGATATTTCCTACAGCTCAGTTACATCAATCAGTATATACAACTGCTTATGAAACAGGCAGTTTTTCAGCATTATTCCTTACTGCTCTACAGATAGGTTTGGTTTAGTTGGTAGGTTTGGTTCCTACCTGCAAAGAACCTTCAGCTCATTTACCTTGACTATTTTTTCTTGACAACTACAAGAATTACCAAAGAAATGTTCCATCCTAACAAACACCTTAATCACTAGGTTAGAGTTGTGCAGGCTTCTGTGCATTCTCTTTAAATCAATTCATCTTGAATTTTTATTTTCTTGCACCACTTCAGCAAGAATGGGAGTAGGAGCTCCCACATCTATTATCTGGCAGTCTACCAGCTGTGGCACTCTCTAGGAACTTGGAACATCCTGCCTAGCTCTCTTCCATCAGGGGAAAGCACTGAAGCAGCAACCTCACATCTTCAAGAAGACAGTAGCAGAAAACTGAAGACTGTGTATTGCAAGCAGATAGAAGCATCTAACCGCAGCCTTGAGCAAAATATGCAAAAAGCAATATTAAGGCTTTGCTCATCTCCCCTTTATTTGCTATAAGCAGCTGTATGATGAGCATGACAGAAGTGTTAAGTCTCATTCTTAAATCCTAATTTTCTCACTGTACTACTTAGGCAGGTGCTCTGTATGCCACAGTGGGGGCCAGGAACTTAAAAGTTGCATTCAAAACATTTACAAGCTGCTGAGATCTCAGAAAAATTTTCAGAGAAAGTAACACGGCTTCTCTTCCTGCCTTCTTTTCCAGTACTAGCTATACTGCTTCCTTGGAAACACAAGAGGAAAACCTTCTGGATGAGAGATTAAAGGCTGTGCATAAGAGCTGCAACCTTACAGAGGAAATAACTAAGCTGTACTTGGTCCTACCTATACAGTGAGACTCGGAAGGATTCCTTGGACAGGAGCAGACAGCTCATTAACTGGTCTGCTAATGTTGGTTTCCTATTAATTCAAATGTAAACATACTCCTCTTTTACTGTAGGTCACATACTGTTCTCCTATACAGGACAGACATCTTTTCTCCCCTGTGGACATGCTCAAATTGCACCATAAATTGAGGCTAGCTTAGTTTTGACAGTCAGGGTCCCGACTGTCTTTCTGCAGACAAAGTGCCAGGCTGTACCTTCACATGGAGCGACAGAGCTGGCATGCTGCTTCATCTGAAAAGCAAGACTGGAGGAGCATTACTATCTCAGGCCAGGATATGAAAGGGTTAGCATGTCCCTGAAGGAGAGAGAATGAAGAATTTGGGAGTGCCAGATAAGGAAAACACCAGAGAGAGCCAGACATTGGAGCAAGCTCCGGCAAGAACTGTGCTTGCACACTAAGGAAGCACACCTGTGTACAAGAGGCATGTCAGATGTGCCAGGTGCTAGCTAGGCTACACAATGACTACTAACCTCAACTTGGTCACCCTTCTGCACATTTTCGTTAGAGAAAGTCACATCTGCAAATGGTTACTAGAACAGGCTTTTAGTAGAGGGTTGGCCTTGTGTCATCTAAGGCTGAAGAATTGTTCTCTAAAATGCAGCTACTCTGAGGTCTCCACTCTAAGCAGTCAACTGGGAAGCCGAGACCTTTAAAGAGAAACATATGAAGCCAAACAGTTAAGCAAGAGAAATACAGGAGACAACAGATGCTGCCAGTAAACTTCAGTAGTGAAACTATCAAATGAGCATTTTCCAAGGCCACTTTGAAACTGGATAGCAACAATGAGAGCTTTGCATGAGGGAACGAACTGTTGCCACAGCAATTCCTGTGGAGGTACCAGCACATTACCCTCAAGAGTGAACAGATGATTTGAAGGAATATGCTTGGGAACTGCTGACATTCCACCAGATACTTCCTGAGGGAACTGTATCAAACTAATTACAGAGGAAACAGTTGCACTATAATCTCTATTTTTGATCAAAAAATTGGTTGGAGAAAGAAATGTGGGCAAGTTGGGTAGGGGGAAGAAACTAAGCTGATCCAGATAATGCTGGAGGGATTTTAAAAACTGTCTTCTACTTCAACAGTGTATAGAAAGATTTAATAAAGCAAGAACAGTTTTGAGACATTGCTTCTGCCTCCAGACTTTTCCTATTGCACGCCTTGCATATGCCATAGTGTTTTCATGAAGATCCAGACGCTACAAATTTGCCATGAAAAACTGCCTGATGCCTTGCAAGAACATACTGAAACTGAAAAGATATTTTAGAAGTCTTCCCCAAAAAGTCAATGCCAAAAAAGGACATTATATAATTGGGGATATAATGAGATTGAAGTTCCTGGGTAGTGTACAATGTATTTTCCTATAGATGCAAACCAAACAGTCATTAGCCAGTTTTGCTTGTATTTAGGGACACGATTTAGTGGTGAACTTGGCAGTGTTAGGCTTATGGTTGGACCTGACAATCTTAAAGGTCTTTTCCAACCTAAATGAGTCTATGATTTCCTTGGGGAATGGGTAAGGAGTCAGATTCTGATCTCATTTAGTGATAAATTCAGAGTAGCTGGCAACACAATTACCCTCAATCAGCTAGAGATGTGGCAAAACTGTCAGCTTATAGGCTTGAACATGACTGTTGCTTGGAGGATAGGAAAAAAAAACCAACAGTTGGGAAACACCCTAAAATTATGCTTTAAGCTGCAGCAAGATATAGCCAAGTAAACAGGGATACAGAAAAAATTGGCATTGTTCCATATACTCTAATAATAGTTCACAAGTACTTAAGAAATCATGGATAGATGCAGTTTTAAAGCATGCACCAGTAATTTACATTTCTAGAATTTCTTCCTGAAACCTAAATATTTATAAATAGAAACTATGGGGTGAGAAACCACAATATTTAGAGATATGGTACAGATGTGAAAAAAAAAAAAAAAAGACAGACTTCAAGAAAAAGGAGCAACAAAAAAAATACTCAGGAAAGCAGTAGTTGGCCAGCCCTTTTCCATGCCTAAATACATACGAGCCTGGCTGTAATGTTTGGCAGTACAGGCACATACTGCCCTTGCTATGAACACAATGAACATCAGAAAGAGTCCAAAAACTGTTAAGTATGGGTGGCTACTTAAAACCAGATTCCTGTACAAGTGTCCGTAGTAACATTAAAAGATGTACAGCATGGAAGAAGTGATGTAACAGACAGCCAGATTATTCTCTCCCTTTCTGAACAATAGGGTAAAAATAACAGCTGCCTTGGATTCTAATACTAGTCAATGTAGTAGTCTGTAAGTTGAGGAAGAACTTAACAGAACTACAGTATCTAATCAAGACCTCGTTCAAAACAAACACCAGCCAGCCACAAACAGCAGTGTTAAAGATACAGTTTAATGCAATAAAGAAGTCTCCTCTGACTTGACCTGTATTCTTCAAAATACATCAAATTACTTCAGAATATCATCTGTGACTTCTTTTGTAAGATGAAACAGTCAAGGTTTAATGGTCAGTGGTCATTTGCCAGGGCTGTATACATTTCAGAATACAGGGCCATATTAGTGCAGTTCAGGACAACATTTATGAAGCACAGACACCAATTGTAATTATTCTTGAAAAACTGACTAAAATCTGAGAATTTTTAACTATTTGTTTGCAATTTTTGTCCAACAGCCAAAAGAAAAGCTGAGCTTGGGCCACATCTGTAGTAAAATTTTGCAATGATCAAGGCAGAAGGAAATAGGGATCTTGTGACGTATAGTGATAACTTTCTTCTGAGACTCCGGCCTCCAAAAATATACATACCAAGAGTCCAAGAACAAGATATTCTTCCTTTGCAAGAGGTCTGGATTTCTTGTATTTGCATACACAGGCAAAGTACCTGAAATGCCTTCAGAGCCCAGACATTACAAGCTGTTCTTGCCAGAATCCCAGGCACCAAGCTTGTATGAGATTGTATTTAGAAAATCACAACTCAGTTGAGTCTTTGGAGTTGCACCCCTTATGTTGTGATCAACAAACCCAGTAAACTGTGCACTTTCAGAAGTTCTCCTTTAAAAGGCCAGAGACTAACCATACGCAATAACTAAAGAACAGCTTCTTAATCAATTTAACTTAATTTGAATGGGTGGAACCCAAGAGTTCTGCTCATCAAAAATAGCATAATGTATTTGCAGTTATTTTGAGGGGGAACTGCATCTTAGGCACATGAAAAATATGGTTCCTTGCACCTTTAGCCATGTTTCTATCACAGCTACACAAATGGCAGCGCTGCAACATAACTTCCATGAAGGAACTGATCAGGATGACAACTAATCTAGCTACAAATAAACTTGTTTTCAGTGAAATCAGTTCACTGACAGCTCTGAACACAGCCACCCAAGCCCCAGAGGAGAAACAGGAGTACCTAGCTATGGGAAAGTATGAAAGCCTATTCCAACAGCAGCATGCACTACCACTTTAAAGCAAAACCATGGTAGTCTTGGGGTACATGAACTTTTTGTGACTAGAGACATATGCTGCTTGCTTGCTGTAGCCCTTGGCACTCAGTCTTCATTAGCTGGAGCTCCCCCCTCCCCGGTCTTTGTGGAGCTTATCTTATTGGCATCTGCAGATCTTGTTTTCAGCAGAGGTGAAACCAGCCCTATAACCTACAAGTCTTGCTGCTTGGTCTTCGAAATTGCTCCATGTGTAGTGTCTATTGTGCTTGTTTATTTCTTTAGCCAGCTTTTACTCATGAAATAGCTTTTAAGCATTAAAGCAGGTTAATCTCAAAAGTGCCAAGCAATATTTATTAAAACCCAATCATCATCCAGCTCTTTAAGTGAAAAGCAATTATACACTTCTCTTGCAGTTGAAAAGTGAGAGCAATTCCTATAAGCACCTGTACGTAGCAGCCTTATAATTTACTTTGGTTTTAATGCTCTTACCAGATCCAGTTCACTACTGAGCAGCTTACTGTGAACAGCACACTGGCTCCCAGATGCAAATTATTTTTACCATCTTCTCCAGTAAATTCCTCTCATTCATTATACCATTTTAGATACATTAGCCATGTTTGAATTTCACACTACCCATTTTAAGTTTAGTAAGGCAGGCCTGAGCAGAAGGAGAAAAAAAACTTTATTGAACCAATTTTTGTCAGGTATTGTACTTACTGTGCTTTGATTCTTCAAGAGATAACATGCTACTGATGCTTAAGGGCTCACAGCAGAGGCAGAGTTCAACAAGACTCATGGGTAGCACAGAAGCAGTTAACTAAGTGCTGTGGGTCCCCAAGGCAAGACAAGAAAACAGTTTTCCTATTTGTTACAGTTCAGTTTGTATTACTTTACCTGATCTGTTAAAATCTGGATATCCTGAAGGGAATGCTAGGATGATTAGGAAGAAGGCTACTTTTGAGTCTCAAAAGGAACGCATTAGGCTCTGCTAAACTGAACAAAGCAGCACTTCTTAGCTGACTTAATGCAAGTGGACAGCGACTTGGATGCAGAAGCTGGTTGTGGGCCAGAAGTGAAACACAGCAGAACAGAAGCGCGGACTCAGCCGAGCGCATTTGACAAGGCTTTATCTGTCTTCCAGGTCCTGTATGCCTAACTAAGTGGTTCTACAAGTACATTGTCACACTCTCAATGGCAGAGTCAAAGAGGGAAGATTATTTAAACAGCTCCTTGTCTAATGCTCTTCATACCCCAATTAGGCAAGGAGCTATAGAGTTTGACTCCCAGTTCAGAGGTCGCTGGAGAAGGAAGCAGAAACACCAAATGTCAAGTGTCAAACACAAAGCAAAAGCCTGAAACTTTTTGTGGTAGCAGCAGTTTACAATCAACTGGAATAAAGATAACACTTGCAAGAAAGCTGGATTGAAGACAGTATCAGGTTTGGAACTTGCTTCAAATGTCGAAGTGGTACACTGTAGTCGTACAAGACTTCAGAAAAATTTAAGACTGTAAAAAAGCAAACCAATTTATAAGAGAAAGCATTACGGATATCAGTGGCAGAGAACTCTTGTAGTTCCCCAGAGCTGAACTGCTGAATCCATCAATGCATCAAATACTGAGGGCTTTGTAATTATAGGGCAACTAACATACTGGGGTGTGTGCACATAGGATCAAACCAGTTCCACTGGCAACACATCATACTTCAGGATTACAGGCTTTGCTTTTCATTCTTCCTTTACATAATGTACACAAAGGTCTGCAAGCTTCTGAAGGGTTGTTTTTAAAAAAACCCAACAAAACAAAAAACCAAACAAACCCAAATCCACAAAACAACCTCTGGCATGCCTCAGGACTACACTGTGTTTACCTTGATTTAGGTGGAAAATGAATCAGTTCTCAGATTTCAAAGTGAATCTTCCATTCTAAAAACAGAAACTTGCCTTGTATCTATCAGTTTAATAAGTGAGAGTCTCAGACACATCCCCCCCTTTCCGTAAGAGGACTCAGACATACAAAAAAAAGATAGAGAAAGAAGTATTACCGTAGGTGAAGATGTTTTGTTTTTTAAATTTTTGTGTTTTGTGGGTTTAAAATTTTATTTTATTTTATTAAGATTACACTTTGATCAAGTTGCAGTCCCCTAAGAATTGTACAGGAAGATACAGAACCATTGTATAAATATTTGGTCTGATGTTGTATTTGTTTTACTGGAGGTTTTTTTCCTTCCCTACTTCCATTTCAAACTGTTAGCAAGCTTCTCTCTCTTCTGCTAGGACCCACTATAATTCACTCCAGAAAAGGCCAACAGAGGTTAGAAACTAAATGTGAAAGAGTTTCTCCTGTGCAGGTCTCCTTAACAATTGCCTAGGACAGCCTAAAGGAATAGGAACAAAACTCACAATGCATAATGACACTTGAGAGCTTGATCTTGAAAAAGGCTCATATACTCCAGTTGTTGCCATATTTGGACAAAAAGCTCCCTCTGACTCCAACCAAGATATTGTTTACCAGAGAAAGGTGACTATCTCAATTTCACCAAATGACATTGAAGGACTGGAATGTATTGAGTGGGTCATGGTCCCTGCATATGTAACAGTAGTATAAAGAGAAGGCTGAATCATTTGGAGAAAATAATTACTTGATTTTACTTAGAAAGCCAAAAGATTTACTTCTAGGCTTTCCTTGTCCACACTAGCCAGAAAACACCCATTTGCTGACTGAATTCACAAAATAGGTGTGACCAGTCCAGAAAAAGGCCAACTTAGAATTACAGAAAGATTCTCCAAAGTTGTATCTGCTACAATCATACTGGGAATGTAACCTCAATGCTTAACATGCCTTCAAACTAAACTGAAATAGTCCTGTGACTAGTGTTAGGATACATTTGGTTTGGCCATCTGCATCTGAAGATCCTGTAGGAATGCATCAACCAGGTTCATGTTTTGGCTAAGCAAATCTCTCTGAAAGCTTGCTATCAAGGGGAGACCGTTCTTCACTAGGTACGTAAATTTGGAATATACCTGATGAACTAAAAGCAAGTAAATGCCAAGGAATGTGCTCATCTGTCTGGAGCTATCTGGGTGGCAGGTGTGGCACCAAGAATTACTCTGAATTTTGGACATCTGCCTCGTTTATCCTCGGCCAATAGTAAAATTCTGTGTCAGCACATCATAGTGCCAATGCAGCAACTGATTATTTCACATTACTTTCATTCATTTGAGGTTACGCTTGTTCATGCAATGTCAAAAATCACCTTTGAAATGTATCAGAAATTAATCTAGAGCACTGAAGCCCTACTAGAACCTTGCTAAGATAGGGTAAGTGGTCTGATAAGACAGGCTTATCAAACTTTTTGTTATCAGTTCACATCCTTAAGAAGACTCCACTGTATCTCAAGCAAACTGTTTACAAGACTAAAAGTAGAAGTGTTTCAGGCAGTCTCTCCCCCTTGCAGTGATCACATCAAATTAATTCCCTGTGACAACAGTAGTTACATGGGAACTATTTAAACACAAATTTACCTACAAATGGGCTCCCACACTTGAGAAAAGGCTCAATTCAGGCAAGTACAGAGCTGGGCATCTACAATGCACTGTAACTAAAAGAAATGCTGGGAACCTGCTGTTTCCTCAAAAAGTCGTAAAACAATAAGAATTAATGGTGATAAGAACATGAAGTACTGCACAGGTATATTGAGCCAGGGCAGCGAGACTGGAAGCCAAAGCTGCATGGAAGCACGAAAGCTCTGAAATACCAACATGCAACTCTTGGCCTTAGGACACTGTCTGCACAGCCCAAAACAGCCTGTTGCACTGAATGAACAACGCAGGGCTGTTTTCTGGGTTGAGGATGGTTGTTACTCTGCTTGATCTGAGAATGTATGTTTAGCCGCTAACTAGCTGCTTACTTGGGTGGCAGCTGTGTGTGTTGGGAAAGCTGTATCTGAATTGTGTCACTTCCACAGTCCAGCTGAGCATCTAGACAGCAACATCAATCATCTCAGTATACAGCTATACAAGCTATGAGGTAAGAAACAGTGCACATTCAGAACACATTAGTGAGCGTCAACTACTTATGAGCAGGCAATGCAAGAAAAGTGGGAAAGCAACCCACATTCACTCTGCTTTTAAATGCCCGCTGACAGACTATTAGCATAGCCGTTATTGTACAATCTACACCTTGGCAGTAAACAGGAATTTTATTTTACTAGAATTTGTGTCTTTTCTGGTTTTTCTCCCACATATGGGAGAACGTGTCATCGTTCCCCATTCTTGAGAAAATAATGATATGAAATTCTGTACACCAGATGGACCAGTCAGTCTGACTCAATACCTGAAGCTGTTACAAAAGCTATACTCTTTGGTTCATGCCTACACTACAGTCAAATAAAATAAGACACAAGAAACAAAAGCTACTGTCAATAAGCTTCAGTTATCTGAAGCTGGTGGATGGCTCAGTGGTTTGTGTGTTGGTCTGACAGTAAAAAAAAAAAAGATATTTACCTTTTCACCTTTCACTCCACTGCAATCACATTTGGATACAGACGTACATCCATGGCAAGCCTTTAAAGACATAAGAAAAAAATTAGATATTTTTAATCAGCGTAAGACTGTATGAAGTCTTTAATACTACTACAAAAGCCTAAAATGTAAGCCTACAAAGTTTGTCATCTAGCCATTATACATGCGTCCAAAGCAGGTACAGCAGAGTTCAACCACTTTTATTAATACCTATGCTTGTACACACATATATTACAGTTGCAGTTTCTCCTGAAATTTTAGACTTTTAAATTCATGCTTAAACATAATTTACCCTAGGGCAAGGTACAATGCAACATCTACGGCCCAAGGGGCCAGAACTTCAATGAAACAGGCTCTTCAGCACAAGTGTCCACATTGAGTCCAACTATGGTTCCCACCAGTAGGTGTCAGTTTTTGCACAAGAGTTTAACCAAGCCTGATGCTTACGAGCATATTTGTGATAGTTTTGGAAAAAAAAAACTTGCTACACAATTAACTCTTCCCTCCACAGCTTAGTTATTGAGAAGAGGTTTTTAAAAGACCCTAGATTTCATCTAGCTGCATTCACACTCCATTAGAAAGCATGACAAGTCAGCTACGACAGTCCCTAGCATAAGGAGAGCGACAGACAGATATTAAAGGGTCAGAGGAGGGAGACATGGAAGTTTGATTCACAGAGAAGATCCAAGTTAGGTCATCTTTCCACACCACATTTGGTTAGTTTATATTCTCTGACCCCCACCCCAATATGGGATACTCATTAGAGCTCCGTGCTGATGTCAGAGATGAGCAGATGTGTTTACAGAAGTGAGATTCCTAGAATAAATTGATTTTTTTTGTAGAATGTCTCAACACAATACACATGGTCATCGGTTTTCAAACTTCTTTGTAGTTAGAAAACCATGACCCACATTAGAAGATAACACTACCTGAAATACTTTAAGGTTTAACTTGTTCTGAGAACAGGTGCAGCATTGTGTTAACAAAAATACAGCATATACTTTAAAAGTTTGAAAAGCTGAGCATTCAGGGCACTCCTTTCCCCAGTAATCTACAGCGAACATTATGTGCAAAGTTTCATTCAAGCAGGAAACCAGTTGGTGTATCAGATCTAAAGTACACCCACACTTAAATTCTAGTCTTCATTATCACAGAAGCATTTAGAGACATGACCCATCACCTACCTGGCATTAGGAATGTCCTGGCTCTTAGCCTAAACACACTACCAAGCATCAGACTGAAAACACAGAAGCAGCTTAACTCACCTGGAGCTACACAAACCCAGGATCAACTAAAGCATCTTTTAGCAAAATGCAGAGCTTTAAGTACAGCAGTAGTGCCACATGACATGACTAGGGCATCTCTACAAATCTTCCATTTGGCTTTTGTAATCAGTTTCTTGATTTGATGTATATGAAAACCCAAAATTCTTAATTAACAGGAGTTTACTGAGCCATTTCCTAAAGTGAAATTGAACCTCACCAGCCAGTTCAGGCTTTCAAAGATCAGGCTGCACAAAGCCCTGAGTTTGACCTCATAGCTGACCTTGTTTGGAGCAGGGCGTTTGGCTAGATGTCCTTCTGATGTTCCCCTTCAATCCCAGTTATCTTGTGAATTTGGTATCAGATCCTTTTAACTTCTAAAAAAGCAAGTTCCTTGTGAACCAGTTTTAGGATTAATCTCATTAGAAAAGCTTCATTTAAAAGGGATTAACCTTAGTTACATGCAATATTCCCTTGCCTCACAGAACAAGCCTAACACAAAGAACTAGCAAGTTATCTAGCTTGCTGTGCAGTAATGCTGGTTTATTATTACAAAGATAGCAGTGAGAGCTACAGGAAAGCCTTTGCTGCCTCCAAGAGGCAGGGGAGGAAAAATAAAGTAAATCAGTACTCATTAAAAACCATCCAAAGCTGTGCAGTCATAAAACACATGTGGAAACCATGATCAAGATCCCACACAGCGTAAGGAGGATTTATTTAGGTTACAGAATGGAACAGACTCATTTAGTCTTCCCCACAGCTTCCAGAAGAGGTTTCTAATAAAAATTTCTGGCGTTTTCAGGTACAAGAGAACTGTGGGGTTGAACTGGGAGAAAAGGAAGGTGGAAAGGGAAAAGATGGTTTGAGATTACACTGGCCCTTCATAAAACAAGTTAGATATACACAATTTTGTGAAGGCAAGTTTTTAAACAGTGAAACTCAGTCTCTACCCTCTGCTACTGTACCTTGACCATAAAACGACAGAAAACAACATTGTTAGTGCTAATACATCTTCAATGGCAATCCTGTCAGAATGCAGACTATACAAAATAGATGCAACTAACAAAGAAAATGGAATGATTTGGTATGGAAGCAATCACTCAAAGCAGGGCTGCTTAAGGCAGGTTGCACAGGCCCTTGGCCAGTTGCATGTTGAATAACTACCGTGGTAGAGATCCCACAGCCTCTCTAGGCCCTTGATCTGGTATCTGACCACCTTCATGGTTAAGCTTTTTCAACCCAAAAAAATCTCACCAGAATTCCCTATGTTGCAACTTATATCCCTTGCCTCTTACCCTGTACAGGATGAGAGGAGCCTGGCTCCATCTTTGCCTTGCCCTCTTTAGTAGTAAGATGACAGGCATAAGATTCACCCCCTCCCCTGAAGCCTTTTTATCTCACCTCAAGTCCCAGCACTTCCCCATACACCCAGCCTCTCAAATCTGGGTCTCACAAAACAAAGCAAAGAGAAAAGTGATCTTTAAGTCAGCTTGTTTAGAATCAGGGACTTACTTTTGCTGATTTTGCAAGAGCTGACAAAGGAGCACCTTTCCTGCACATGCTAGCAATAAATAAGGGTGGACATGATGGTGAGTGATACAGTGTATCCTTCCCAATTGGCATTAAAAAAAAAGAGCTTTTAAGATGAGCCTAAATCTTCCAGTATAAAATTTTTGAAGAAAGTTCCTCTTCTTTATTCTATTTATAGTTTAAAGAAAAAAAAGTACTTTAATCAATATTTTTTTAAACCTATGACTGTTTTCCAAAGTCATTTACATAATGAAACTGGACTCCTTACACTTTGAACAGTCTCTTAACATATACAATTAGCCTGTGTTGAAGAGTCAGGTGTACTTAGTGACCACTTTTTGACAGATGATATCCAGCTCAGATGCATTACTTGCAGGAAGGGAATATGGTCTTTCCCAGACAGTAGTGAAGGGAAACTAAAAGAAGTCTATAATCAGAAAACTCTTCAAATAGCCATTGTAACCAAATGGTAGTAATTTTTGGCTTAAATCCTGGGAAGATCCATTCACTCACAAGCTTATCAAGAAGTATTCCCTCAGCAGAGTCACTTATCTTCCTGTACAAAAGCTGCATTTGGCAGATAGTGTTTCTTATTTGCATCAACTCGTATCCCCACCAAATTAAGTTGTTTTTTTTTAACTAAACAGTTTGAAGAGAAAATTTCCTGAGAATTTATACTATAGTCAAGATCAATTCATGCCACTTATGGATTATATTGCAGTATAGCATAAAAAACAACAAACTAAAACATGTTGGCACAGAAAAAAAAAAGCTTAGTGACCTATTCTAAGTGAAAACTTTCTTTTTGTTTAGACTTTTCAATAATCTCAAGGCCTTTTTGACTTGGGAAAGCAGGCACAAAAATTGTGCTACAGGAGAATGCATAGTGCATACCAAGCTAGTATGAGTTTGAAAGCCACTCAGCAGCCACAAGCTAGAGATTTCTGATGTCACAGATTTAATTCTGTAGCTCATATTAATGCAAAGAAAATCCAGGCTCCATAGCATACAACACTTGGAATTTCTCCTGCACATAAGCCATAAGTCATCTACACCTCAAAGAAAGCAAGCAGATACAATGACAGCAACATTTCAAGCACAGAAAAACCTACATTAAGAACAAGATCTAGATGGCTACAATCAGTAGTTCTGAAAATTAGGTGACTTACTGGGTTTTCAGATATGTAAAATTAAATGGCTCCAAACCTCAGTAAAGCCCTGAGTTACACTTGGTACATTTCCTACAGGTTGTAGAACTGAACAAGTTACCTGCCTTGTACTAGGCAGTGAGAAGCCTTCAGCAGTAGTTCAATTCCCAACTCTGGCCAGTAAGACACATTGTCTTATGTGATACGGAAGATGATAAAAAATATTGGACGTAATAGTGAGTTGTGGCTTGATCATAGGGAGCTGGTCAATCTTCACGCCTACAAAAATCTTTCCGTTTTCAACTACAAAGTTGGGTAAGGAATTGAGGCAGCTTTTAAGAACAAGACTGAAACTGCTCAGATTTGCTTCTTACTTACTGTATTCCTGTTGCCTCCCCCCACTCCCCACCATGTACATGTAAAGATGAACTCACTATCATTGCCATTGCTGTGACTTTTGCATGGCAAGACACAATCAAGGGCTCTAATTAATCTATTCGAGTTTAGCTAATCCTTTCATTGGATTTTCCTGACAGCTTCTACCCCATTGAATCCATGTGTGGAGAGCAAGTTCTTTTCATTAGTATATAAAAGGAGGGATGGTATTGGTTTACTAGTCAAAGGATAATTCTTCCAGAACAAGCTCGGTCTTTTGTGTCATACATGGACTGAGGAAAACCGCTTTATGCCACCAAAATAATGGGGCTTTTTGTTTGTTTTTCAGTTTGAAGAAAAAAAGTACACATTTGAAATTAAAGTCACTTCTTACTCTTGGCCAGAGGTTTGTTACAGTCAGCTCAGTGAAATGAATAAGCCCAAACTATCCTCAAAATTTGTTTGGCTAGAAGCCTGCCTTATGTATGGGGCACATTCCCCTCCTTTCTCATCAGGCCTAGAGATGTCAGTTAAAATGCAATTTCAGCATATTCCACCCCTTCCCCACCTCCCAGCTGCCATTCACAACAGTATTGGACTAAATATTTCTAAAAATCACCAAGCAGATGAATGCTGTTCTTGGAGAGAACAAACAACTTGGGACTTCCTAAAACTATGAAGGGGTAATAAAATTTCTTTGATGGATTACTAATTAATAAAAGTTACAGAGGACTGGCTG